CCACCTGGCTCTGCCTCCCGAGTGCTGGGATTAAAGGCGTGCGCCACCACCGCCCGGCGTGTTGCATTCTTTTACGTTGCATTTGTTTAACTCTGTGAAGCTGTGATACTTTGCCTGTCTAGAACACCTGATGGTCTAATAAAGAGCTGAATGGCTAATAGCTGAGCAGAGAAAGAATAGGTGGGGCTGGTAGAGAGAATAAATAGAAGGAGAAAAAAAGCAAGAGAGAGGAAGGAGCAAGAAAACGAGAGGAAGCTGGGTGGTGCTGACGCATGCCTTTAATCCCGGCACTCGGGAGGCAGAGCCAGGCAGATCTCTGTGAGTTTGAGGCCAGCCTGGTCTACAGAGCGAGATCCAGGACAGTCTCCAAAGCTACACAGAAAAACCCTGTCTCCACAAAAAAAAAAAAAAAAAAAAAAGAAGAAGAAGAAGAAAAGAGGAGAGGAGAGGAGAGAAGAGGAGGAGGATTTCAGGGGCTAGCCAGCCACCCAGCTACACAGAGAGCCACAGAATAAGAGTGAAAGATATACAGAAGTAAGAAAAGGGAAAAGCCCAGGGGCAAAAGGTAGATGGGTAATTTAAGTTAAGAAAAGCTGGCAAGAAACAAGCCAAGCTAAGGCCAGGTATTCATAAAGCAAGACTAAGCATCATTGTGTATTTATTTGGGAGGTAGGTAGCAAGGCCCCCCAAAAGCAAAAGAGTTAAAAAAAAATCAAACAACAATACTGGTTTTGAAAAGAATGTAGAGTTTAAACTACAAAGTATTGCTAACCTGACGTTTTCATGGAGTAGCAATTTATGACAGTTAAATCATTCAGCCATTAATAAAAAAGAAAAATACAAGAAGCCTACTACTGCATACAATGCACTCTGAAACCACACACAGAAGTCAAGGATTTTAATGCTAACAGCTATTGAAGAGCTAGAGATGTGGTTTGATACTTGCCTATTGTGTGTGAGGCTCTGGGTTTAAACCCCAACACTACAGATACACACCAGCGATCATTCCAAATATCCTTCCTAAGTGTTATTTCAGAAATACCAATATTCAAACATTTAAATAGTCTCCTCCATCACAGGTGATCATAATCAACCGTATACCCACTCAGCAAGTATTCAGTCACTACTTTTATCATTAACTGTAAATTTCTATTTTCATGTTTTTTAAAATCAATAGTATTAGTCTCTACTATCTGGCCCCAACCTGTCCATCTCACTCAATTTAGAACTGAAGTCATTTGGGGATTTAAAGAAAAATCATCTTAGCAGCATGACTCTTTCTTCACATAAAATCACGCAGGTTGTCAAGCGTGGACAAACAGTACAGCTACTCATACTGACGTGAGAGTAAAGAAATCTCAGGAAAAGTAAATTCTACAAATGTAGAAAGGCAAGTTAGAGTTAGAACTAGACCACAATGTCCTTAAATGTTTAACACAAAAATATTTGAGAACTAATGTGCTTATTCCAGTTGGGCACATATCTGAAAATAGATATAAAATCAGTCATTATCTATCACAATATATAACTTACCATAAGAGCCTCGGCCAGCCATTTTATGAAATTGTTGCCAAGTGAGAGGACCCTGAACCCCCCAAGGCCTCACTGTTCTTTTTTTCTGAATAGCATCTTGAAGAACTGGCTGAAGAGAGAGGAGCATTCGAAGTATATCCTGCGAACACTGCATACTCACATCTACAACCATTAAAAGAAAAAGTGAGTAATAATTGCTATTGGTAACACATTTCAGAAATAAAAAAAAAATCTCAGGAATTTTAACTGTTCATTATAAAGAACATTAAACATTTGCTTACACAGAAAACCTTTCAAAAGTCAAATGTGGTGACACATGTCTGTAAAATCTGAATTCAAGAGGCTGAAACAGGAAGGTTCCAAGTTTGAAGCTAGCCTCTTCAAGATAGCAAAATTGT